CCCCTAGATTTGGAACCCTATTAGGCCTTATTAAGCCCTCTATAGTCCTTATTAGCTCCTTAAATTATGGGGGTACCTTTGGGGGGGGCCTTATTTAGGGTTTTGGGTAGGGAGGTTTAGGGTTGAAACTGCCTAGCGGCCCAAACCCCAAGCTTCAGGGTTGACGTTAAACTGGGTAGCTGTTAAGGAACTAAAACTAAGTTACCGTAATGGGTATGTGTAGTAAACAATTCGGTATTTCCTCAATATAGTAACTTCAATGAAGTTCCTTAACCCTAAGCCCTATATGTCCCTACATACCCTTATATAATTGCCCCCTATATACCCATAGTAACTTCAATTAAGTTCCTTAGCAGCAAACCCAGCAAAACTTGGGGAGGTTGAACTTGGGGCTTCTACCTTGTAGGGTTTAGGGTTTCACCCAGTAATCGTGACTATGCGGGATAGCAAGAACTACGTATATATTAGGGCCAAAACCCTAAACCCTAAACCCTATTGGGGTACTGTTACAGGGTGGGCACAACTTATTAGGGCCAGGGATTCAGAAGGACTAAGAGTTAGGCCCTCAAGTAGACTTACAACTGGGGCACCCGTAATCCCCGAACCCCAGCCTGGATCACACGCGGTTTAGGGTTCAGGGTTCAGTGTATGTTTGGTTCAGGGTTTTGCTTAGGGTTTGGGGCTTAGTGCGCCTGAGCTAGTCGCTGACGTGCGGGGCTCAGATCAACAAAAGTGCTTTTATCCCGAAAGACCACATCAACCCTGTTTAGAAGGACAGTGCCTAGTCTACAGCAGGCATTCTTTCATGTTCCATGTTTGTGTGGGAAAGTGCACTCTGAGGGACCTGGAGTTAGCCTATAGCTCCTTAACCCATAATCCCTGACCCCTTTGTGACCCGGAAATTCAAAAAGTACGACTTGGGGCCTAAGATCCTTCAAGCTTCCATGCCCGAAACCTAAACCCTGAAATCCAAACCCCAAACCGAAGGACTCCGACGACGGGGTAGACTTCCCACTGCCCGAAGGCATTGCGAAGGAAATTCTCAGCGAAGCTTCCACTTCTGAGCCTTGCCTTGTTTAGGGATCGCAGGGTTCAGGGTTCAGGGTTTAGGGTGTGTTGGGCCCTTCAACATAAGGAGCATAATGCTGGGGGAGTACTTGAACTAGAGTCTAAACTCTTTGAATTGGGTTTTATGGGGGATAGTTTAGGGAAGGGCTTACTAAGGTGAATACCACGAGCTTAAACTATAGCTCACAAAAAGGGGGACCCCAGTTCTGAAGCACCTTCCCTTCCCCCGCAACATGTGCTTTGCTGGCGTTTTTCCCTATGGGTACTTCAATGAAGCAACTCGGAACATCTATATCTATATATGTATATATGTCTATACTATGTTGTGCGGAGTCTTCATTATTACAATCGTGGCTCCCCCTTATTTAAGGCTATTGAAGAATCTGTTATCAGGACAATTTCAGGTTAATGGGGCTTAGTATGGGCGGTAGGAGGGGTACCCATATTTCTGGGCATGCTTTGGTGCCAATATGGGAGACTGACATGCAGTGTGATTAGTCTTGAGGATTCAGGAAACCGGTCAGGGCTTTATGATCTATGGTTTAGGATTTATGAGGTTTGGTGTAGGAACCCCCTACACCATTTATTTTCAACCCCACACACATTCTACCCTAAACCTGGCGCAAACTGCAACCTATTCATTCCGAGGAAGGCTGGCTCCTGTGTAAAACCTTGAGTCATCACCGGGTGTTTGCAGGGTTTAAGGCTTCTATAACTCTATAGTTTTACTGTACCCGACAAGCTTTTTCTGATGATTTAGGCCCTACATTCTGTCTTCCCCACGTGTCTGCGAAGATGGGGCTTCACAAAGCCTGGGACCATGATTCCAAAGCCTTGAGCCACCAAACCCTAAACCTGTCTTGGACCCTGGATGTCCTACCTTTTTTCGAATATGACCTCTAAAATACGTATAAACATGCAGGACAGAACCCTGCAGCGGAAGGACTCGCAGGTTCCAGGTAGGCCTTCATTGCAACTGCAATCCTTCAATCCTTTGGGAATCTGCAACAGGAGTGGGCAAAGCCGAAAAAGGGTGACGAGGTTACTGTGCCTCTTGGCTTACGCAAGGCAAAAAGTGCGTCTTCATCGAGGGATATCTCTTACAACGTGGTAACCCCACTGCCACAGCAAAAAGCCCCTGACCCCCCTAATATTGCATATTCCGCCCAGCGCATGGTGGTACTGTTTTGGAGCGTCTGATAGCATTACGTGTAGGGGAAGTCAGGGAGTCGGGACGGGATTAGGGTTCCTAGCAAATCTTTTACGTTATATTCCTGAATCGAATAATGTTGGGCAGTCGATTTTCTGGAATTTCAGGATTGAAGGTCCCTGTGGCTATGAATCTATGTATGGTGTTTGGTTCCAGGGTATTAAAGTTTAGGGTCTAAGTTTTATAGTGGTCATGGGTTAGAGGTTAGGATTTAAGCTTAGGGTGAAGGGGCTTAATCGCCCTCAAGACCTATCTGCCCTATGAACCCTAGGCCTAAGAAGCTAAACCCTAAAACCCTTAACCCTAAAGCCATAAACCATCAAACAGAAACACATTAAACACCTACAATCCAAAAAACGAAGCCCTAAAACCTTAAACCATAAACCCCAAACCCTAAACCCTATAGACCATCATAGACCCTAAAACCCCCATGAACCCTAAAGCCCTAAACCCTTTTCGAGTTTCATGTTACCCCTGGGACAGCATGATGGCAGGAGCGTTGCAAGCTTAGGGCGTCAAGGTTTAATCCCCTCCCCTATCAAATCATCCCCACCAAAAAGGGGCCATATTGGTACATAGGGTTTACGGTTTAGAGTTAGGGTTTAGGGTCTGAATTTCTTACAGGGGCTATATGGGGGATTATGTAGGGGAGTCCTATAGGGGTAATTGTAAACGCTAGCGCGCGCCCGCCTCGGCTGGCGGGGCTTCCCATTGTAGGAACATGTAATTATAGATATACAGGTATTTAAGTTAGGTATATAGATACAGTCATATGCCTATTACATA